TCTGTCATCAGAACTTACCTAACCAGAAAGAACAGTAAATCCTCTTTATACCTGTTTTTACAACAATTACTTCATTCAGAAACCTCCTCGTTTATCTATAAGCTAACAAATGGTGGTGATTTTCTGTCTTTCAGCAACATCTCAGCACCAGGACTGGGATTCAAGTAGTTCCCTCTGATCAGATTTTGAGTACAGTTTGGATAAAATGGACTTTTGACATTCAACACAATAGGATCATGGCCAACCTGAGCTTCCAGAATAGTAACTCAAATGCTCTAAGGTCAAAGCTGTCTTCTATGGGCTTTTGAAATCTCCATATCTGCATGAAGTATCAGTTCTGCCTCCACCCAGTACCCTGGACTCTTGGGCAGATGCTCACTTTCTTTTCACTGGATCAAACTCTGTGTGATATGAAAAAGGTAGGTGCAGCTTGCGATTTGCATCTTCTGTCGTCTCCATTGGAAATGCATCCCCCCTCTCCTTGCTGAAAAACAAGTTTCCTGCTCTTGGGCATAATAACTGAAGGAACAGAGGCAAAGGCACAGAGAATAGAAATGTTGCTTCTGTGCATCATTATCTCCCAGTTACATTTTTTTTTCCCATAGTTTTTAGGAGTAGGAGAAAAAGGAAGATTCTGAGAAGTCTAGTGTAATATGAATTTTGCAAATATGTAGCCTAGAAATTAAACTTCGTAGATAAAAAAGTAAGTTACTATTTCTGCTTTATTGAGAATAGAATTATAGTGGCTGTATTTTCAGCCAAAATTTCAGTATTACACCTTGACTCTATTATACATTCCCTTTTATGATGGGTATCTCACCCTCTAAACCCACACGTAGCTTCATGAAACAATTATGAGCACAGGATGTGTGGTTGAGACTTGGTTGAGATTGGGCTTGAAGCTGTCTTCAAATAGCCAGTGCCAGTAGTGACTCTCATGCTTTGGAACTGGTGTGGATCATGGCTGCCTTTGCTGGACTTGGTGCCAGGGTGTGCAGGTGTGCACTGCTGCTCTGTGCATGTAAAAGATACAAGACTCAGGAGGATTGTACTGAGGAACATACAGTTGTGGTTGGACACTGTTGTCCCCAAGGCAAAAGACATCGTAGCCTGGTCCTTGCTCTGTGTCTTGCCTTCCTAGAATCATAGAATGGCTTGGGTTGTAAGGAACCTCAAGGATCATCAAGCTCCAGCCCCCTGCCATAGGCAGGGTTGCCAACCACCAGATCAAGTAGTAGATCAGATTGCCCAGGGTCCTATCCAACCTGGCCTTAAACACCTCTAGGAATGGGACAACCACAACCTCTCTGGGCAACCTGTTCCACCATCTCTACACTTTCTCAGTAAAAAACTTCCCCGACATCCAATCTAAATCTTTCCTTTAGTTTAAAACCATCCCCCCTTGTCCTATCACTATCTACTGGTGTGAAAAGTTGATTTTCCTCATGTTTATGAACCCCATCCTTGGGCAGATACCAAAGCTAATGACTGCCTTTCTGATTCCGCCTGCACTGGGATGAGGAGAAGGAGAACACACAGGCTGATCCATAGCAATGCCTTATCCCAGCACTGGCACAAAAGTGTGGAGAGTGGCTGCAGGCAGGTAAGTTAGCCCAGCAAAATGCTGCCTGTGGTTATTCTGCTTTCTGTCAGGATTGTATAAAATCACCAACATATAACCTGAAGGCACCTCCTGGAAGGGCATAGATTCCCCACAGATGTGAAGCAGTGCTTTATAAGGAATTGGTATCAGTATGTGAACTGCTTTTCTGCCCCATCTAGCTCTTCTCTGTTTGGCTGCATAAGGAGAACATACTTATCTTCAGTACAAAAAGGCAGTGAGAGGGAATTCTTGTTAGTGGCAAATTTATAAGCATGTTGCCAGCAAGTCTGGGACTGGAAGATGAGCTGGGGCAGAGCTGTGGTGGGTTTCCCAGGTTAGGGCTGGGTTGCTACTGCTGACCAAGCTGACACCTTACTGCTCCCAGATCTGGGGTCATGGCTTCAGGCTGATAGAACATGCAGGAGGTACTTGCTATTCTCCTTCCCAAAGAAAACAAGTGTAGTAATTTCAGCACTGAGAAACAGCACTGTAGGGAACTCTTCCATATTATTCTTAGGTAAAACGAAAAATGGCTCAGCAGAAAAGTGAGCATGGTAATACTCCTTTTTGTGAAGGTCTGTGCAAGCCAGCTCAGTGTAAGCAATGTTTAGAATATGTGTTCAAATCTCCAGTCTGTTTAATGCATCTTTGCAATGAATACATTTAACAGAGAGGTATGACATCCAAACACTTCTTCACCAGTGGGAAAACAAACCCACATTAATACAAAGAGATGGTTGTACATCTTCAACAAAATGGTTGTACATCTTCAACATTAGATGAGTTGGGAACAGAAGGACAAACAAACATTAGCATGCAATTTATGATGCTACACTCAGGGACTGAAAGTATGAGCCATAGAGGTATCATACAGCATTTCAGTATTATCATTTTATGATTTCTGTACCTTTCCCTTTCAACAGATGCTGCTGCTTATGTTCTCTATTGTGCCTTTAGTTGCCTATGATGAATAAGTGTGACAGTCCTTTAAATCACAGCTGCTACACTGTGCAATATTTAAGAAGGCCCTTGTGACTTTCATGTTTCCTTGATAAAAATAAATAAATAAGGAAAGTTATTAAATGTTGAACATGGAAAAAAACAGTCTTCCAGGAAGGGACTGTGAATATATTTTTGTTTGTTTGTTTGTTTGTTTTTCATTTGTGGAAGTTTCTGCAAAAAAAATCTCTTTGCATAAAACCCCAAAACTGGTCTTTAAGGTCCTTTCCAATCCAAACCATTCTATGATTCTGTGATTCTAACTGTAAGCAGGTCGGGGCTTTTTATTTCCTCTATTTATTAAACCTGTTCTGGAATACTAATTCTGCCTCCAACTACTGTGGAGTTTTTCAAACTACTTCTGTGTTTTATATGCTATATATATTTTATATCATTTTAAAAGAGTACTCTCTACAGAATATTTTATACCCCATTCTTAATTTGCATCTTAACTAATAGCTGTAGGAGTTTCACATTCTTTGTGTAAGGAGTTGTATTTTCTTCTGTTTTTCTCTTCCTCTCCCCTGTGTAAATACATTTATAGAAGTACATCTAACAAAAGATGTTTGCTGTAAAAACCACCCTGATGTGGAGCAGCAGTGAGACAATGCCCACTTTTGTAGTCATTATCAATAATAACAGAAACTGAATCAAGTGATAGAAATATATTTGATTAAAATCAATTGTTTGGGGAGCGTATTTATTCCAGAGCCTTCAGGCAGAGAAGAATAGCAGCTTTCTAAATGCGATATTATGAGGGCAAGCAAATGAGTTATTACTTGTGTTACAACACAACAGAACTGAGCAAGAACAGCCCTACGAGAGGGAGTAGGCACTCATATCCAGCCATTTATTCTGTTACATTCATCACCACAGGCTGCATGTGTACACATCAGGTCAAGGTCAGCGTTCCTTGCTCGCATGAATCACTCTTGGCACTGATGGAAACCTCTGTATTGCAGTGTGCACAGCATCGCTTGCTCTGACTTTGACCCACGTCAGGGCTGTAGCCCGCAGGTGGGACAGAGGGCAACAGGGGCAGCTGGTGGGCAGTCAGCACTGCTCAAAAGGGACTGTTCATAAGGCAGACAGTTTAACTTCAGGCTGGAGGACAAAACTGTGTTCTTATCATGTAGATTGACTATGGCTCCTTTGCACTTTGGCTGGTGGAGTTGCAGTGCTGAAGAAGAGGTCTCCATTTTTTCAGTTTCTAAATATAATTTGATTTAATTGAATCTCCAAAGAATAAGTTTTAACTACAGTACTGACGAATCACAGAATCATAAAATGGCCGGGGTAGAAAAAGACCTCAAAGATCGCCTAGTTTCAACCCCCCTGCCATTGGCAGGGTTGCCAACCACTAGACCAGGCTAGAATCCTCGTTTTTCTCCATAAGCTTCTTGACATTAGGGGAGCAAAGATGAGATACAGGACGGAGGCTCTTCCCCTTTCCTTCCAATAGTGCAAATTCTGCATGCCAGGTCTCTGCCTTTCATAGCATCCCCACAGACAGAGTGCCATGCCTCGTGGGGGTGATGATGACATGTAGGTATGTGCGAATGAAAAATCAAAAAGCAGCTGTGGAATACCTTTCTGGAGCTGTAGTGGTGGCTGCAATAACTTGACACGTGGGTGGATTTATTAGCAAGATTGCAAGCACGAGTTGCACGCATCATTTGTACTTACGGAACTCTGCACTGCACTGCCAGACCCTCGGGACTTAAAGCAGCATTCTTAAACTACTTTTTCTTGCCTGTAAAACTGTTAATATTTCAACACTGTGCCCGCAACTTTTGAATCATTGCATCTGACTGCGAGAACAGAGAGCACTGTGCCCTCGCACCGCGCTCAGCCCCTTATGGAAGGGCCGTGAGTGTCGTCGGGGTGAGGGGAGGGCGATTCTCACCGGAATCCCCGGAACCGAGGAGTTGCACGCGGGGCGGGAGGCTGCCGCCTCGTCCCACACGGGCGTGTGGGAGGTGGGAATCTCAGGTTGAGTTACTCATCGTGCAGGAGTCGAGAGAGTGCGGAACCAGTGATTTTGATGGCAGGAGGTAACGTACACATGTTTTTCGGGGAAGGTGCTGTGGGAGGACTGCCGGCGGGCAGAGCTTGGGTGGGGGGAGCTGGGTTGCGATGAGCGCCGTCATTCCCCCAGCCTGGAAAGCCGCCCAGCCCCGGCAGCCCCGCCGCCCCCGCGGGCGGAGCGGGGCGGGGGGCGCGGGCGGCGCTGCCCGTGGCCGCTGCCTGACGCCGGGCCGGGGGAGGCGGGACCGCTGGCCCCGCGCTGCTCCGGCCCCGCGTGCTCCCGCCCCGCTCCGCCGCGTCCCGCGCCCCATCTCCGCCCCGCGCTGTCCCCGCCGGGCCCGGCGCTGCGCGGGGCCGCCCCGCCCGCGGCATGGCCGGCGCGCTGGGCAGAGGGGCGGCGTGCTGGCGGATGCGGAGCGGCAGGAAGGAGAAGGCGCCGGGCGGCAAGCCCCGGCAGCAGCACGGTAAGGGGCTTCGCGGGGCGGGATGGGAGCGTCTGGCAGGGGACTCACGCTGCCCGCTGGTGGCGGTCAGGACGCGGGCCGCTGCTCCTCCTGCTCCGCCGCGGTGCGAGGGCAGCGAGCGCCCCAAACTCCACGACGCGTCCCGGGTTCGGCAGGCGTTGGGGGGTGAGAAATGCTGTTTGCGTGCGTTTCCACATGTCGCTGTGATAGCGGCTTCTCTAATTGTTGCGGAAGGAGCTTTCAGGCTGCCAAGCGGCAGCGAGCCTGGGAAGAGTCCTAGAAATCTTTCTTGGCGTGCCCGTATTTTGTCTTAATGCTCGGGAGGCGCTGTGAAAAACACTTGCCCTGTGCCTGCGCCCGTCCCTCATCAGTTGCTCGGAGAGTGAGGTGCTCATCGCCGGGTCTGAGCAGCACCGACATTTCTCTCCCGACCCTGAAAGGCTGTGCTGGCCGTGACACCCCCGCAGGAACTTCGTGCCCTTCGCGACGCGCACGGCTCCGCCCGGAGCGCTGCGGGAAGCGCGGAGTCCCGGCGCCTGGAGGTGACACCGCCGGAGCAGAGCTGGTGCGAAGGCGAACCCCGGGGTTTGTGTGGGGGCTGCCCAGCGCCGGGCATTGCCGAACTGCTCCTCTTTCAAAAAGAAACAGTCTAAAAGTCCGAGCAGAGGTTTTGTCGGTGGGTATCACCAGAACTCTGAAGGAAATGACTGTGCAGGAGAGGAGGTGCTATCCAGCTAGGGAATAAAAATAGCGGCGTATGGTTGTAAATCTCTATGCTGCTCTTTTTGAGCGTAGTGGGGAATCGCAAAAAGAAAAGAGTTGGTGGCACCTCTGAGAGCCGTTATCGTGGGTATTGCAGAGACCGAAACGTGATGTCCTGGAGCCGACGGGAGCTCTGGCACTGAGCTGGGGAGAGCCAGAGTGCGCCCTGCAAACAGCGGTGCGGGCATTAGGCCATATGGAAACCCTTCCTGCCAGAAACTTTGCCCTCATAACTGAGTTACAGTGTATGGTGTGTTGTCCTGATGAGAATAGCATCAAAATAGCTGTACTGTAAATTAGTTTGGTTGGGGAGATGTGTAAGTCAGTTCTGATTCAGAGTAACAAAAAGGTGTGCTTTAGTCTATTGCTTTGTTTAAGTGTTTTTGTAAAGTATCATAAACTCTCACTGAAGTAATTACTGTAACACCATGGAATGCCAAATGACACTGAAGCACATGTATTTTGCATCCTAATTATTTTTGGAAAGTATTTAAGGATAATTGCTTTTTCTGCTGTGCCAACTTTGCAAGGTGGACTTTTTTACAGGATCATTTGCTATCTGATAAGAGCTGCAGATGTAAGGTAAAAACAAAACTATCCTGTATGTTCTTACTGCTGACTGTGTGTGCTGCAGTGAGATCTTTTCGAGAGGTGAAGGTGGGGAAGTGGAGTATTACTTTGATGTGCCTCTTAAAAATTCAAAGTTTTAGAAACGCTTTATTTTCCAAGAATGGACTCCAGACATTTATTTATTTATTTGCTTATTTATTTATTTATCAGGTAATAATAGACCACTTTGCATTGGAGTGGAAAATTTACTTAATGTTTAAGCTAAAGATTGGAGGAGTTATAGGATATACCCAAAAGTAAAACTGTGGTATATGAGCTGTAAGCAGTTTTAACTGTGTCCTGTCATTTATTCTTGCATGCATGCAATTATCAGAATGACCAAGAAACATTCATATTTTTATGACAGAACAGGGAGGCAGCAGGGATATGAAATAATTCAATTTCTAGGGAAAAAAAACAAAAAAAAAAATGAAAAAACCAAAACTGTTCTTTCCTATTCTTTTTGCTGTAAAACTCATTTCAGTTGGCTGCTAACTCATGTTGGTAAAATGTGGCATAGCTCTGTGGATCTCAATGATGCTGTTATGGTTGACACAAGGTGAAGACCAAGCACAACATTTCAATGTATTAAGATGTTTACTCAGTCATCACCTAGGGCTGGCTGGCTGCTTCAGGCACACTGAGCTGTGAACATATGAGCAAGCCTGCCTTTGGACTGCATCAAGTGACAAGTATTAACCAGCTTTGATGTTCTTCTCACCTTTGATGAGAATAAATATAGCTGTTGTTTTATTTTGATGTAGAGCTATTTGAGATCAAGAGTGCTTATTGAGTGCTTTATTAATTACAACTTTATCTTAGCAGTTGCAAGTAAATCAATGCTTTTTCATAATCAAATCATAGATTTACAGCATTGTGACCTGAGACTTTTCTGTATTTTTTAAAAACACAAAATACAAACATGAAATTTTCTTTATGATTGCATGTACAGAATACCTTGTTTTATGTGGTATGACACTATGGAAAATGCAAAGCAATATAAAGTAGGACTTGAAGACAGCAAAAAAAAAAAAATTGTCAACACAAAATGTTCAAGATCGTGGTAAGATGACATATGTTAATGATCTTGTAAAAAGCCTGTTTTAAAATTATTTAGTGTTGGATTGAGAATAGCCTCTTACCTGTAAAATCTCCCAAGAGCTTGAAAACCCAGATGGATGGCTACAGCCAGAGTTCTACAGATCCTCTTTAAGCAGAAGATGTTAAATAGTAGCATTGTGAAAACCACAGTTTACATTAAGTAGTGTTTTTCTGTACTACTCAACAAAACTTTGAAATGTACTGGGCGTCTCATCCCTTGAAGAGAAGGTATGGAAGGCTTGTGACTAAAAACTGTGAAAGAGAAAGGCGTCTACATTATCTGACACCACCAAAAATAACTGCTGAGGAGCAAGCAATACTTTATATGCATATTTAAAGCTATGTGAAAGTTTTGTAGTAAGCCGGTAGTTCTGCATCCTTAGTACTAAAACAATTACAATGGGGAAAAGTAAATAAATAGTGCTGAATGTATGTGTAGGACTATGTGTATACATCAGTGAGGTCTTAGACAGCAATTACTTCTTAAAATATATACTTGTAATTGCTTACAACGTGTGCCAAGTTTAGAGAATGGAAGTTCTCTGTGTTTAAATCAGCACAATATGATCAATTGGTGTTGTGCCAATATGTTGGATCATGCTCAGGTAGGCTCAATAAAAAAATGTGATCTATATTAAAACAAAACCATTTTTTCCCTGTTTCACCTAGTTGTTGCCTTAACCTATCTAGAGTTGTCACAAAACATGTCATAAACTATTGTTGCCCCTTCTGTTTGGCGTTATTTCCTTCTGAGAGCGACAGAAATGTAGTAGCGAGGTAAGAATCATAGTCAGAGAATGGCTTAGGTTGGAAGGGACTTTAAAGATCAGCCCTTGCCATGAGTAGGGCTGCCATGCACTAGATCAGGCTGCCCAAGGCCACATCCAACCTGACCTTGAATGTCTCCAGCATATTATTGTTCTAGAGAACTAGACTTCTCTGTGTTGAACCAGTGAAAGATAGGGAGGATGAAGGTACAAGAGGAAGAAAGCTACAAGTCATGGTTTTTCCAATGGACGTGCTTGGATGTATACGCATATGCTAACAGCTTCTGATTGTGACTGCACTGGACAGGACTAATTCTACAGTTGATAGCAGAGAAATAAGTCTAACAAGCTTTCCAATTTCAGGTGGTCTTATCTTCACATATTTTTCCTGAAATATTCACAACGTGCTGTCAGCTTTCTTCTTTCTTCCTTCTCTGTCTCCTGGGAAATAATGTTCTTGGTTGTATTCAGGCAGTCATAACCAAATGTTCTGTTGTGCTGGAGGCGTAGCTCTCTCCACCTCGCTTTTTGCCCGTGGCTTATTGTAGTATTTGTAAAAGTAAATGTCTGAAATTCATGTAGGCGTTATATGTCTGCTTAACATAACAGACGTTCTTAAAGCAAGTAAGCCTGATTTTTGTGCCTAGCTGGAAAAATCTGCAGGTAAACTTTAAATTTTAAACCATTTTTACTCGCCTACATATTCATAAAATATGAACATTGACATTATTTCTGTTTGGATCTACTAACAGTCAGATACAATAGCTGCTTCTGGAATCTTGTTACATTAGTCAGGGATCATGTAAAGATTCTGCAAGATCATGAAGCAGATCCTTCTGGAAACTATGCTGAGGCACACAAAACAAAGAAGTGTTTGGTGGCAAGCAAAACTCCACTAAGGGCAAATTCTGTCTGACAAATTTGGTGGCCTTCAACAGGGTTGCAGCATTGGCAGATGAAGGAAGAGCAAATGAGATAATCCACCTGGACTTGTGCAAAGCATTTGACACTATCCCATATGACGTTCTTATCCTACATGACATTCTTCTCTCTAAGCTGCAAAGACATGAATTTGACGGATGGACCACTTGGTGGATAAGTAATTGGCTGGGTGATCACACTGAAAAGATCTAATGTCCAGTGCTGAGTGGGACTGTTGGGACTGATACTATCTAACAGCTTTGCCATCAGCATGGACAGTAGGCTTGAGTGCACCTTCATCAGTTTTGCAGATGATACAAAGCTATATGGTGTGGTCAACATGCTGGAAGGAAGGGATCCCATCCAGAGGGTCCTTGACAAACTTGAGAGGTGATCTTGTATGAACCTTAGGAATTCAACGAGGACAAGTGCAAGGTTTTGCATCTGTGTCAGGGAAATTCCAAACATAAATACCAGCTGGGTGGAAAATGGAATTAAGAACAGCCCCAAGGAAAATGACTTGAGTGTGTTGGCTGATGGGAAGAGACTTTTTATGAGGGCATGTAATGATATGACAAGGGTTAATGTCATTAAATCAAAAGAGAATAGATTCAGATTTGATTTAGGGAGGAAATTCTTTACTGTAAGAGTGTGAAGCAATAGAACAGGTTACCCAGAGAAGCTGTGGATGCCCCCATCCCTGGAAGTGTTCAAGGCGAGGTTGGATTGGGCTTTGGGCAACATGATCTAGTGGGATGTGTCCCTGCCCTGCAGGGCATTTGCAACTAGATCGTCTTTTAGGATCCTTCCAACCCCAAATATTCAATTCTATGTTTTTTT